TACTTTTGTATTTGCCAGTGGGGATATTAAATCAAGTCAAAATATGCTTTAAAACAACAACCCTGCAATATTAGCATCACTTGTAAAATCCCCTGGGTGCAGTCTATTTTTAAGTGGCATACCAAGTGGAACTCTAATGCATCTAGTGGGGTTAGGTATGGTGTCAAAAGTCAACAGTTATTGAAGAACAAAATTAATTTCATTGCAGTGGAAGGGATGAATGACAATTTATTAGTGAAGCATGTTGAGGCCGAGGGGCTAAATGCTGGTGATCGTCACGTTCTGCAATCAGAACGAGTGACAACGTACTTATCACGACCTGGACGCACTGGGGACACACTACGAACGGAAGTGTCGTACTTCAATCCTACTAGGGACGTATTACGATGTTGTGTACTCAAGCGTAAATTGCAGCCGTGAGTACCCCAATCAGGAAAATATGGGATTATAAATGCGTTTATAATGCGATTATAAATAAATTAAGACGAGATGAACGTATTAAAAACTGCTTATGAATGAATTAACAAAAATAGCTATCACACCAGAACCAGTTGTCACTGCGTTCTTCAAAACGTTGCCGAATCGGTTTTAAACTGTGTGCGAACTGAATGAACGTACCTACAACGTTCTACGGACTTCTAACGAACTTCATGGACTTTCCCGGACGGGGAATGTGATTTAGCATTTTGAATCGATTCAAAATTCGATGGCGACCATACCGTTCTGTAATCAGGTAATGATGACCTTCTAGACTAAGGGGACGCGTTATACGACGTTGCACACCGACGTAGTGCGACCTGAACGAACTGCAAATGAGATGGACGTATTGAAGACTGTTTATGAACGAAGTAGCTAATTATTTTAGACATATTTCCCGACCACAGTCAGATTGAGCACGTTTAACGACGTTTTCGTAGGACTGGCAAGAACGGGTAAGAACTAGTTTGGTGTGATAGGGGGGTTAATTGGAAGAGGAGATATGTAACATTGCTGTTCTATAACTGTCCATATTTTGATATTTTGACATGTAATCCTTTGCGTTAAAATAAGGTTTATTGGTCTGTAGATTGTCTACGTTATTTTAGTCGAGCATGTCTTGATGCCATCATTTTATATTTGACTGACATTTCAAAAAATCAGTATGATGTCCTTACTATAAAATATTTAACTGCCTGAAAGTATACAAGAGAGACCTAAAAATGTATTTCAGCAAGCCTCGGACTGGAAATTCTCCAAGACTTCAATAGATTCTGATGGATTAATTCCTGGGAAATGAAACATGTCGTTACTTACAAATGTGTTTTACAAAAGTTTGTTTTTCCTGACCAGTCTATGAAAAAATATTTGAAAAATCTCCATCCAAAATGAGGGAATTGATGATTAATTGGAAAATATTCCATATTTTTGAGCAACGGTGTTTAAGCCCCCCATTACTCAGCTGATATGGAATAATTAGTGATGTGCAGACCAGGAATTTAAAGACCCATTTCTCTTACTTCCCATTGCAGTTTGCAAGAATGAACATGATATCATCAATGCTTTTCAAACAGAACATTTGTTACTCAATTGACTGTGGACACTGATATAAAGTAGCCTGGCCAGAACAAGTCATGCCTCTCTATTTTCTCAATAACTTTCTCAATTTTGAAAATTTTTTCATTTTCACAGAATAAACTTTAATGATTTCCTAACATACAATTTTTTTATATGGTAAATGCCTCATTAATTTCATTGTTACAACCTTTTAAAAAATAATGTCATATTCTGTTGATGGGTCATTTTTGTTGCCATTTTTTCTAAAAAGATACGAAAAATCTGTAGCCAAGAAATATTACAAAACTCAGTGAATTTAAATATTTTGTAAAATATACACTAGTCTAGTTTTATTAATTCAATTCTCAGTCATGTACATGTAAGAGACAACCACCTTTAGAAAAATCAACCCTTGCAAAACATCCATAATGGTCATGAATTCCCTCACAAGAAAAGTGAGATGGGAAACTATAAAACAGACTGTAAACATAGAGCTCCCTGAATTGCCTCTTCCTAACTTTGCCATGACTTACATGGCCTATTATAACCTGAATGGGCATTTTACCGGAGCTGTGTAGTTGACTGTTAGTATAGGTAAACCCTTGACCATTGTGGATTATTTGTTATAAACTTTATGGATGATGAAATCAACCATAACAACCTAGCTACAAAAATCATTTAATCAATGGATTTTACAAAATTCTTGGAGCTAACATTCAAGAATTTGATAGAATGTGTTCCCTAAGAAAATCATATTGTGAAATTCTTATTTACACATACATCTTTGATGTAATAAAAGTTCTTAGTTTGTAATTTGGGTGTTGAAGGGGAGAGGATATAAAAACCCATCAAGGTGTGAACTTGATAAGGGCAGTAAATCAGCAATTTCGAATTCTCATTCCATAAATGTCTCTCCAGGGAATCATAGTTACTAGTATCCATCATATATGTGTCCAGTAATAATCGCGCTGTTCACGATTTATCGCATCGATTCAAATTTAAACAACCTTTTAGTAAAACATTGCAGCTGAGTAATCAATTTATCCAGTCCCCTTGGAAGTGATCTTGAAATCAGTTCAATTTATTATACAAGATGGCATTATCATCCCCTTTAACCAAGCCATACTTATTAATAATATAATATTTATCATTGTGAAAACATAATTGATCAACAGAAAATACTGGGTTCACAAGACGAGGGCTATCCCAAAATGCATCAGAAATAATCTGATTTTAGTTGGTAGAAAACGATTTAGATTTATATTACAAATATTTTACAGCAGCATTATCCCCTCTAAGGATATTATCCACCTTTCCCCTGGTGTTATCCACTTTTCATGAATGTTATCCACTCCAGGAATATTATCCACCTTGAAGGTAGCAATTTTATCAAATATTTTCATTTAAAATCAACATAAATGATACTCATCTGATATCCCAGAAATCAATTACTTGAATTAGGCATTTATGATAGCGACTTTTTATTATACATGATAGAGATTGCAATTGCAATGTATTATATTGAATCTGATGAGTATCATTTAAATTGTTCTCTGTACATAAGCAAACTTCGACCTCAATTTTGTTACATAAATAATGAAAATAGTTTGTTAAGATTAGAACTTCTTAATCCTCTACACATAACAGGCTTTGGTGTATAATAATAAAGTTATATAAAACTAGTATACATGTATTATTTTTACAAGCAAACATAATAATAGGCAACAATTCTTTATACAATTTAACGTCACTCTAAAATCTCGGGACCACAGTATTTTACGTTTTGCCCAAACACTGTGTTGCAGTGATCTCCAAGTGATTTTTCTCAGCAGGTGCTGTTTTGATAAAAAATATCCTATTACACAAGATGCAAGCATATTTTCAATAGGGTGGCATATTATGTGCAATTTTTTATCAATGTACAGCACCCAATTGATCTAAAGCTCAGAAGATCACAGAGTTGGGAAAACGAAAATGATGTTCAGCATAACACCATTAACAAAGTAAGCTATATGTGGAAGATGATCAATTTATCAGGAAGCTAGATAATATATTACATCTCCAAACATGTTTACACTTTGAGAATTATACACGTACATGAATTATTATTACCATCATGAGATAATCAGTGATGAAGGAAATATAAAGTCTTGGCAGAACTGAAACCAGAAGTCATTGGAATTTGTAAGCAATGAAAGACAGATACACAAACTTGAATATTTATAACTCATAAAAAAGAATCATGTCTTTACCATCAGGCTGTGTAGATATAATACTTGAACAAAACCATTAGTATATTGCAGTTTCAAAGGGAACAACATGTGTGGAAAGTAGGCTCAATTGGAAAATTACATTGCTTCATCTCTCCTTTACTGCACCATTTAAACACGCAGCAGTAAAGTTCATTTTATTGCCCCTGGAAATGCTTCAAGTTAGGACGACCCGTAATTTTATGATTTGAAAGGGTCAACAGACTGTCAATAAATCCTGTCCCTTTTTGGTGAACCAAAAACAGTGTATGGTGTCTACATTGTAGACAGTAACATTTGTTGACAAAGGACAAGGTATGGTGTAGTTAATGAATTTAAAAATGTGTTGAGGTAGGGTCTCCTAATCCATGGTTTATAGAGAGAGGCGACCTGATAACTGTTTTATCCTTGAGACCTCAATTTTGGAAAAACATGTTATTTAGATGAGACATGTTGAATTTATGAAGAGAAAATACACATATGACTGTCAAAAATCATTTGCCATACCATTCACCATCTTTTCTATTTTCAAAATTACCAATAGGCATTTGGTTGTTGAAATACCTGCCCAAAACTGTAAAATTGACATCATAACCATAACTACCATTATTTACTAGATCAGTCTATTGCTTATATTACACTAAGTGATGTTGTGAACAAGATTGAACATAATTTCAAAAAATCATAAGAAAAAAAATTATCAAATGCCTTCAAAGCCGGGTCATAATTTAATAGCATTCAATCTACTGTAGTTGAGCAGTGGTAGCTAACATCAGTTAAATATGTAGCAAGCATTTGAGGAATATACATGTACAGAAAGCATTTGCTAGTTTGAACACAGTTTGAAATGGTTAACATTATTTTTCATTACAAATAATTTTCTTTGTTGTAATGCAGTATACTGATCATTACAAAACCAAAGAAAATTTCAAAATGAGCCATGTTTACCACGTGGATTTGTCTAATTGGTAAAGTGGTACTGCTATTCATCTGTTAAGACATGGGTCCTTCAAAAGGATCTAAATCTGTCAAAATAGCTGATATACCCAAATTGATAAACAGGAGTGACCATGCAACATTTGAACAATCATAATCACCAATATATTGGAGCATAAGATGCACCTAAGGGATTTCATTATTAGGTGATGTTCCAATGTTATCATCAGCACACAATATAACTGGTGTTTCTTATCCTATCTGTGCATGTGATAGTTGAGATACATTTAAAATTGATCTTGCCACTCTAATATTCAGTATCTTCATATTTTAGTTAGCTTGGAGCTGTACACACACACACACACAGAAAGTACTCATACGCCCACTAGGATCCCAAGATACATGCTTTCAAGGGACTCCTCATTTCCGCCTACATAGCTGAGCTTTCAAAGTTCAGTTGCTCCAAACAGCCTCATATAAAAATATCCTCAAACATGACATATGCAATGTCAGTATAAGTTATGGTGTCTGGCATGATCCATTATCTCATAAGCTACAGAACAGTTTCCACGCAATTATATATTGGTTCCTAATTATAAAATGACATATCATACAGGACATAATGTCTAAAAGCTCTGTGCGACAGAATGTATATGTGGATTATTGCTATATATGCATTAATGTACAAGTTTTTACAAATGTTACCTACAAAACTGTCTAACTGAGGCAAAGTCCTACTCAGCTTTCATAATTGGTGATTTATAAAATACATGTTTAGTACTCCCGGCCTCCAATAGGTGGCACTGATCTCCATTGATGGGTATAATTGGACATGCAAGAGGACAATTCTCAACATTTTAATATTGTCCAGTCCAAGAGCTGTTGTTAAAATATGAACAACACATATCCAATGTTTGAAATCTATTCACCAGATGGCATAACATTTCCACTGCCACCTATAGGAAGCTAGAGGAACTATGTTACACCCAAGAGTCTGCACCCTGGCCACCCTCTGCAGGCATGCCCTCTATCTGCATGCCTCGTTGTGAAGGGCTGTGAGGGCTCTGATTTTGGCGTTTGTTTCGTTTGTCAACCTGGGCGTATAAAGGCTCCTTTCCTTGGAGATCACGGTTGCTAGGCTGCGACTGTTGACTCTGGAGACACAAAAAATAACCATTAGCAAACGAGTCATAACATGACAAAAATATCACAACCTAAAAATGATTAAAACCAGCAAGTAAGGTGTAACAATTCATACGGATCCTGAATGTCAAGCACCAATCATGGAGCACCTACTGCAGGTCACAAAAATGGTGGCTATATGAGTTTGCCATCGTTACTCAGCTAAGTGTTGATATAATGGCAAATATTTAAAGGAAAGGGACATGTCAAATGTGTATCATTATTACAAATTACAAACCAGCTGTAATATGCTACACTCCATCTTCTCACATTGCTTTATAACGGGCAAACAGTAAATTACTGTATACGACATCATAGATGTCAGTATTATATTTGGAAAGTTGAAACAGGTTATGATGAACAAAGGATGTTCTTTTGAATCAGTGTATCACACTATGCCATCATAAAATAAAAAAGTGTTATCAAAATGAATTTTTGAAACCTTCAATCAGGACATTCCTTTATATCTAATGTCACATAGCTGTCACATGTTTTTGTCTCTCATACAATTCCTTGCAGATATACAGATTTCTGCAATTTACATAACTTCCCCATTAAAGCTCATAATGAAGTTTATTTAAATTATCTTTATATCTTTATTCATTTTATAGTAAGTATTTTGGTAAAGGTAAGATGAAGGCACATTATGGTGAACAATCCAAATTAACTCGAATCTTTTATACAAAACTTGGATTGGATATACTGTCTGTACATGCAGGCCATTCACACCATATCCGTAAAAGGGTTTTGTTTTTCAAACATTCATGCCAAAAATATGGGGTTGTGTCACAACAGTTCAACTGAGAAATAAGGGATGGCTTTAAGAGCATGCCTCTCCCTCCCAGGAACTGCACTGTCTCAAGTCAGACAGGTTCAAAATTTATTTTGCTTAAGTAAAATCTTATAGATGCTCAACATGATTTACTCCACAATATTGCAGCTATCATTGAGACAGTAAATCAAGGCAGATTCAATAATAAGCCAGTTATGTTGCATAAAACAGAGTATAATAAACTAAAAGCACAATAATTACAAGACCTCAATCAAATTGCCCTGAATATACACTTTATTTATGCCTTTAATTCGATAGTGTTGATGTTAAATGACATATACTGAACAATAACTGAGTCTTGCAAAGGGATGTCATTAAGTTTGTTTCAATCAAGACGCAATATCTAGGTGTTAATTTTGGTCAATTGAAAGGCCTTTAAAAATGGCTTTCACTTCAAATGTTTTTACATTTTGCCAAATTAAAATAAGTAATATTTGGAAGAAATTAAAATGATAGGATATAGCTTGAGTATTCCTACTCTATATCACATCTCCACATGCAAAATATCAAGGAGTACCAAAATTGTCCCGATTGATCGGATGTCTCTTTAACGTTAACAGGAAGTAGATTTAAGACAAGTTCTGTTACATTCCCAGCTAAAGTAGGACATTGGTTCAATGCCAACAAAAAATATCACTGAGGCAGAAAATAATAAAATACACACAGGCGATTAAAGAAACATGATCTATTTGTTCTATTTTAGAGATGATAGTTTTGAAATTACATCGTAAATTGTATCAGGTATATCATTTAGAACATTTATCACACCATTTGTAGATGTAATGACAGACATTTAATAGCAATCTAGGAGCGAGGACCTGGACAAATCTGGGGCTAATTTAAATAAAATATGAAAGAAACAAGAAAAACGGAATGGATAATACCAGGGGCGTGCTGTCCTGTAGGATTATTTCCTTCTTCCCCTGTAATCAGCTAATTGAAATATGGAAGGGGTGGATGATGTCCGGAGACAGGGGTTTGGAGAAGGAAGGAAGACTTGTGTCAACTGACAACTGCAAATTCTGTCATTTCCTTCCACCTGTTATAGATGTTAGGCATTTATATTAACTGTTTTATTGGCCTATTTGCAATTATAAATTATACCTAGAATATAGAAAATGCATTTTTGTGTCAAATACATTTTTCTGCATACTGTAATTTTATAAGAATCTTAATATCGTATGAACAATAAGATAATAAAAAATTGAAGCAATCATTTTTCTGGGTAGTGAAAATGTTATCTTAGAACATAACTAGTTAAGTAAATATGTCTCTGGATGATAATAGCCCTGTCACTACCTACTGTCCTGACAGTACAGATTTGCATGCAAAGTGGCAATATGATCAAAGGTTCCCTAACAAAGTAAATAATTTCAAATTATAGGCCACATTTCATCATCTTCTACTCGATTGCACAGCATAATGGACTCAGATTAAATTGATCATTTAACAATATACTATAGGCTAATGATTGAGTATCTATCATTGCATAATGGAATATTATAATGGAAGTATAACTAGCCTATATATATATATATAAGTAAAAATAAGAAGAACTAATTTTCTCATTATTATTATTATTATATAACATGATGGAGTTCGACAATACCTTATACAGACAACTAAAAGGCACTGCGATGGGTACAAAATTCGCCCCCACCTACGCAAATTTAACAATGGCATATATCGAACATTTACTCATTGAGAAGTTAGCGTGTTCAAATTTAAACACAAATATAACTGAACATATCAAAATGCATTTCAAACGTTTCCTCGACGATTGTTTCATAAATTGGCCGTTTTCCAACGAGGAGTTACAAACTTTCCTTGACGTATTGAACGGAATTGATTCTAACTTAAAATTCACAAAGGAAGAAAGTTTAACACGAATTCCTTTTCTGGACGTATTAGTTATAAAGGAAAACACGAAACTGATAACGGATATATACCATAAAGAAACGGACACGAGGCAATACCTCAATTTTAGATCATGTCACCCACGTCATACAAAGGTAAACATACCTTACAGTTTAGCAAGAAGGATCATATGCATCGTATCTGATACTCGCACACGACAATTTCGACTGGAGGAACTAAAGAGGAATCTCCTTCGATTGGATTATCCTGAACGGATAATAGATGATGCAATCAATAAGGCTAATATGTTAGACAGAGACGAAATCCTCCACGTAACTAGACAAAAGAAAACAGAGGATAATACTATAACATTTGTATCCACACATAACCCCAAAAACTCTAACATATTTCCTAGGATTAAACAACATATAAACACAATGGTGAAAAAGGATACCTATATCAATCGCATCTTCAAAAATAAAAATATGATAAACAGCAGACGACAACCACAAAACATAAAATCATTGGTTACATCCTCGCAATTTTCCACCAATGATAAGAACATGGTTGAAAATTGTAAAAACAAGAGATGCGGCTGCTGTATTCATCTACTTCAAGAAGGACGTTTCTCTTATAAAGAGAAAATAATAGCTCCTAAAAACCACATGACATGCGATTCTAGCAATGTCCTGTATGCGTTGATATGTCTAGGATGTGATGAAATATATATTGGACAAACGGGAGATACACTTAGAAACCGTGTCAGAGTCCACAGACAGCACATTAATGATGAAACTGTCAGAATGCTGCCTGTGAGCGATCATATCGCTAACTGTGCTCAAAAAATGGATATAAAATTTAAAATCTTACCATTTTTTCAAATACACAAGGACGATTTAACACTTAGACTGAAATACGAGGAACATTTTATTAATATATTTAAACCTAAATTAAATAAAAAATCCCTCTCTCGTTGTCAGTCAACAAAATGAAACATTGGTTTCTTATGTAAAATTAATGACGTCATACATAAATAATAATTATACCTGTACAGGTATATATTTTATGACGACATTAATTATAATTATAATTACGTCATCCTGCGATTATCTGTCAGTTGCCTGAAGATTTGAAGAAACTAGTTGCAACGAAATGAAGTCATCTTGTGTTTTTATTTAAATTTTATTATATATATATATATATATTGATACAGGTTGTGTTATGTATAATGCAATAAGAAAACCTAACATAACCTACTTGTTGATCAACATTGTACATATCCATGCATATTAGTAATGATTAATGTAAATCAATTAGACAGTTAGTATATACTGAAAACAAGCTACATTATGCATGAAATTCAATATTTTTAATCATGATGAATTTATGTAATTCATGATTTCAAATTTCCTTTATAAATTTACAATTCCATGACAACTAAAAAATTGATTAGTAAATTAGTAGGCATTACCAGTGATGGGTTAGTGAAGAGGGGCACTCCCCCAGGGGGCCTGTAGTCGTCATTATATTTGGGATCTGGCTGCTCCACCCCAGAGTAGGTCACATAGGGGTCAGTTCCCTGTGCCGCAGACTCATCGCCCTGGAAGATTAGAGGATGTGGTCACCTAATTAGAGGGATGGTCACCTGATTACAGGACAGATCACCTGAGTCTCTTGATTAGAGGCTGATTAGGTCACCTGATCAGAGGAGGGAATCACCATACATGCATTAATTATACTTCTTCACACTCTAATCCAACAGTTACCAATTATTGGATTTAGAAGGTTTGCATTTTGAAAACAGATCGAGCCATGGACTGATTTACAAGTAGAAGCAGCCCCAAACATGCAACTGAAATTTTAATTAGTTTAGCTCCATTTTGATAAAATTGAAAATGGGGACGGCACAGATACTTGCATCTTTAATAAAGAGGAAATGACACTAATGAGACTAGTTTCATGCAGCATTCATTAAAAATACCATAATCTAATAGGCTAGATTTCCTTAGGGCAATCAAATTCTGGTATAAATAACAAAACATCAAAAACGATCATGTCATCTCTAATTGATGCTTAGCTAAGGTGAATTCTGCACACAATCAGTTTAATTTTGTCAGTGTGTATGTATAAGCAATGCTAAATGACAATGTAATTTGTAGGAAGTTTCACTTTGTTTAGTAAAAAAAGTAGTTTTAGTACATTATATCTGTAACAAGTTATTTTCATACTATAGTCCTAATAATATCAAAATTAAAATAACAGAAAATAAGTTGATAACTCTCAGACTCAGCCAACTCAGACAATTGTGCATATAAATATAGTATAGATAGACTGTTTGTTGACAATGAAGTAATAACAAATCTAATAATGCTAAATGCTGTTGACCATTAATCAAGCTATATCAATTAGCTTACCAGTCAATTCCCAAGGCAGTCATGTTATTATATGAGCAAGTGATGATTGATGAATGATCCAAACACAGTCGCCAAAAAGGTATTCTCTATCATGGCAAAAATCAGAAATTACCATGGCCGGACAAATGAGATATTTTGACTGGTCAAATCTGGCAGGTAAAGCCTCCAAAGACCACACAATGATGTACTTGATGTAACATATTTACACGGACAATGGTATGATGGCACCGTGGGGAAATAATACTACATCTGTCTGAATAAACAAGACCTGATACTCAGTATCTACTGATGTAGGAGTATATAATAAATCAATTGAAGTGGGCTCCCTACCAGACATTATCCCATTGGGTACTTTTGTATTTGCCAGTGGGGATATTAAATCAAGTTAAAATATGCTTTAAAACAACAACCCTGCAATATTAGCATCACTTGTAAATCCCCTGAGTGCAGTCTATTTTTAAGTGGCATACCAAGTGGAACTCTAATGCATCTAGATGGCGGAAGTAGGGCTAAGGGTTATGTCTAAATTGTCAACAGGGAAAGGGTAACTGGTGATTTATTATTGAAAATGTCGATTTTTTAAAAGGTTGAAGTGTAAGTAACATTTTGAAAATTACATGAGAGTGGAGTCGTCAACGCAACTGCTTTTCCACAACTGTCAACATTTGGACAAAATCCCTTGTATTAAAGGAAGGTTTATTGGGCCCTAGATTGCTGTGGTATTGGAGCTATATGGTAGCTATATAATTATTCAGTAAAGCATCTCAACTTTACATAAAAGATAATGAAAAAGAGAGTTGAGACTTCCACAACGAAGAAAACATTTTCATAAGTGCAAAGTTGTAGAAGTTCATGCAGAACACAATATTCATGACCTTGGTCATAAAATGATGAAGTAACAAAATTATACATTGATTAAAAAAAATTAACGAAAAATGGGAGTATAATATGATCCATGAAAATCGGGATTTTGCTCTAGCTTCACAGGAGATTTGGTATACTGAAACAAAGTAAAACATAAATTGTTCCCCAAAGAATAAAATTTGACAACATTGTGTATATAACTGACAGAAAGTATATACGGTACAAGGATTTTGTCAAATATAGCCTCTGGGCTTCAGGGAGACCTGTCTTCTAGGTAACTGAAACTGCATTAACAAATGTTCATCTACTTATCAGAGAATACTATGATTGATTTCCGACATTTCACCAGTTATCCTACCAGCTTTATCAAGAACCATATGAAATTGCCTTGTACCTCATCTCACATAGGGGAGTTTAAGTTGCAATCAATCAAAGACTTCAAAGGGATATTTATATCACAACAAGAGAATAACAATGTCCCATAGTACCATACTGGATTAATGATAACTCTATAATAGTAATGAGGGTATTTTTGATATAGGCATATAGACTATAGAGATTAGAAGAATCATCCTGGCATCTTTTGAATAAAGCAATAAAATGCTCCATTGTATAATGTTAAACATTCTAAACTTGAGGATATTACAAAAGTTTGTAATCAAATCAACCGTTAAAACATCAAAACACAAACTTTCATTAAACTCTTGTCAGTTACATCTGTTAGCTGGATTAATCCCATTAATCTATAAGATATGTAACATCCATGGAGAGAATTATGTTCTGAACCCAAAATGTGGTGAAAAGTTGTTCAGGGATGATTGAGCACTTGTGGCGTAGTAAAAACTCAATAAGTATAGAAATAGCCAGTATATCAAATGATTATGACAGGAATTTAGGGGAAAGACATGAATTGAGATCCATTTTGAAGAAGGGCTATAACAGATATAACTTATACAGTATACAGGGTGTCAAATAAGTCCCGTCCCCCCCTCTACAGCCAAAACCAAGATATTTGGTACCAAGTGTAATATATCATTGGAAAGGTCTTCCAAAGTTACGTTGATTGGCATATATCTGACACATGTCAATCAGTCTCACAAATTTTTACATTGTATCAATTGAGGTGACCATATGCCTAGAAACATGGCAATTTGGCATATTTGGCAGGATTTTGAGAATCGGGTATAAGAAAGGTCAAGGGACCAAAAGATGACTAAATATGTTTATGGCAATGAATTTAACCAATTTCTGGATAGGGTTAGATGTGTAGAAAATAGAGGGGCAAGGAAAGTGCTGAAAACCATTTTGTAACAAGTGGAATGCGAAAAAGATCAACTTTTTGACGTATTTCTGAGGTCATATCCTTGTCATTTTGACGCAAAAAAGCTACTTAAAGGAGGGCACGTAAACTATAAAAGACATCATAAAAATATAGGTAAATTTCATCCAAAATACTTGAGAGTTGGTGAGTTAACATAACTTTGGATGATCTTTCCAATGGTATATCACACTAGGTACCGTCTGTTAAGGCTTTAGCTGTAGCAGGGGGGACGGGACTTATTTGACACCCTGTATGTTATAACATATAAGTTAATCTGGTGGATAGTTAACAGGTGTTGACAAAGATAGAAATATTATTGATGGTATTCCTATGGTTCATTAGGTAATCTTACAACTCATCCCCTGGACAACTGAACTGATCCCCAAGACAACTCACCCCCTAGACAATTCATCCCCTAGATAACTCATTCCCTAGACAACCCATCCCCTAGATAACTCATCCCCTAGACAACTCATCCCCTAGATAACTCATCTCCCAGACAACTCATCTCCTGGACAACTCATCCCCTAGACAACTCATCTCCTGGACAACTCATCCCCTAGACAACTCATCTCCAGGACAACTCATCCCCTGGGCAACTCATCTCCGAGACAACTCATCCCCTAGATTACTCATACCCTGGACAACTCATCCCTTGGAAAACTCATCCTTTGGCATGTTTGAGCAATTTAATGTTATATTATCAATTTGTATTTGATATTCAAATGATTTTTATTTTTAATGTTTTGGTTATGAATATGATCAGTTTTTTAAAAGTTTCAAATACATGAACAAAGGCTTTCTTGAGGGGAAATCTGGAAAATTCTTTAAAAAACTATGAGATAATGAACCAAGTAAACTTGATTTGTTCTGTATATTTACTTTTAATTTTACTTTTAATATACAATTTCAATATTATATTAACATTGATTGAAGAAGCTCCTTTGATGTCACAATATGCTTGTTGTTCATGGCTCAAATATTCTTTAATCCAAAGATTTTTTTCACAGCATTCAAAGATGAAGTTACTAAAGTTCATGTTTCAAAGTTATGCAGAAAGAAAACTTTTTGTCATGAAATATTGAGTCATTTAATATAAGGATGAGAGATGAGAGTTTCAATTGCACCGTTTGACTGATATCAAATAAGCACTTCATAATTTTGTAACAATAAAGTGAAAAATATTATATTGAACGATCCAAGGGGTATTTTTGTATTTCTTTTCCAGAAACACTTAACAATTTAGCTTCATTTGATAAAGGATGAGTTATTCAGGGGATGGGTTGTCTAGGGGATGAATTGTCCGGGGGATGAATTGTCCAGGAGATGAGTTGTCTAGGAATGAGTTGTTTGTAAGCCATTCATTCTACATGTATAACCAAATGAGGAAGAAGTGGAATTGGAAGTGAACCTTAATAGTTCATTGGTTAAAAACAATTGATGGTGCCCATATCCTAAACATGAATATTCTACTGATGAATGCCTCTTGGGATGTGATGTCAACATTTTACAAATGGTAACTTGACATTATCAATTGCAAGTTTTAAAGCTACATGCTTTTAATAGGATTCTTAAGTGAACATGCAGAACTGAGGTCCTCTGGGAATTTTCCCATTCTTAGTATTCAGTTGCCCAATTGAGTATAAAGGTAAAAATAGTTATTGAAAAAATTGAGGGGGATAGAAATCCGTGGGGGTCATAATATCATACATTTGCTTATATGTATGAACATATAAATATATACTTTAACCTATTACCTATTCTAGATATAAAGTTTCAAGCCTTATATCACCATACATATATCTCGGGGCAACCCCTTCATGGGTGATTAAATTGAGAGATTATAGCTAGGGGAGGTATAATCTAGACTTATTAACAACAAAGACAAACTAAAAGTCGATCAATTACTTGAGTCAATATTTGGCCAATTACTTAGAAAATGAATTATTGAAACAAAACAGATGTAAAAATAGTATTTACTTCAATAGAATGCATTACGAGTATTAAAACAAGTCATCTTTTGTGCAAATTGTGTTAGTTACATCATCAAGTTAGAATTAAGGTATTGTTATCTAAGATATTATAGTAAGAAGATACCCTGGGGAAAATATAACAATGGCATTAACTTTGTAATAATAACATTTCATTTGATGATATGTACACAGCATCTGACGACATATACACTGTGTCCTATGACACATACATAGTGTCCAACAATGACAATTACAAAGACACCAAAGTTTGTGTCAATGGCACCCCTGTGGTGCACCAGCGATTGACCGGAACGAGTGTACTGACAAAGTTGGCACAGCGGTATTAAACGGTTTAAGTGCGCTTGAATGAGCTGTTATTCTTCAAAACATGTGAGCATGTAATTTGCATCAAGGAGCTTATTGCTTTTTTTCGTGATACCTGCTGACAAGGCTCATTAAGTGCTGTTCGGTGGATTGCGCCCATGGGTATACAAAAATTCACACTTAGTAACAGCCCAGTCACATTTCCCACGGCCGCTGTGCGGTCTATCATTTCTGCGGCCAGTAACATTTCTACACTCGCCGTGAAATTTCTGTGCTCTCATACTTTTGCAGTCACATTTCCCACGGCAGCCGCACGATGAATTTTAAATTTCTGTTGATAAATAATACTTTTTTCATTTTATTTACATCGGGACAATTTATAAATGTTATTCATAGTGCTAGGATGTAATATCAAATGAAAAGTGATCGTGAAACATTGACAAATAATGATTCAATCTTGTTGAGCCAGTTGATTTCTATGGGGACCTCAGAAATGAACAAATATTATAATACTCCTAGTTATAATTTCTACGGCGACCCTGCACCCCTGTAAAAAACTGGATACGCCGTACGGAGGCCACAAGGCGAGTGTAGTTTTCCTACGCTCGCTGCAGAAATACACTGATTTAATTGATCTGCGGTCGACGCCACCCTCCGTACGACAAATGTGACTGGAGTGTAAGAGTGTTTGATTGCATGTTTGCTAGTAAAGCCATGACTGGGTAATGTACATTTGTACCAAGTTAGTATTATATATGCACTCATTAACCTCATATTTACATCTTTATTAGTGATATTCCAGTTAACCTTCAGAATGCATATCCTAATAAATATATTATATTTGTATTAGTACACTGTACCCCGATGCCAGACTACGTGTATGTTAATTCTAAAATTATATACCTATACTATCATAATACAATTAATAAAAAATTAGTACCGTGGGTACTGGGCTCACATGGTGACAGAAAAAAACGGATATAATTTTTTGCTGATTTTTTGTAACAAAATTATTTCAAGCCACTTGCCACTATTTTGGACTGACGGAGAAACAGATGGACAAATCGATGTTAAGTAAAATTGCTGAAAAAAAACGGATATAATTTTTTTCAATTATTTGGAACAAAATTATTTCATACAACTACTCTTTACAGTGACATGGCTTTTTGCAATGCAAGACACCTGAAATTATTTGTAAAGCTAGGAAATGGGCCAAAATTGAATTTCGCGAGACAAAAATGACGACCATTTTAAAATCAGGCAAGCTTTTGAACCAGGAGTCAAAAGGGAGTTTTTTTGTATTGATGTTGAACAAAAATAATGTGAAACTGGAATCCTATCGACAGAGGTTTTAAGTAAATGGTCCAAAAGAGGATTTCGAGAGACAGATGAACAAATCAATGTTAACTAAAATGGCTGAAAATAATAAAAAAACAGATATAATATTTTGCCGATTTTTTGTAACAAAATTATTTCATACAACTACTCTTTACAGTGACATGGCTTTTTACAATGCAGGACAGCTGAAATTATTTGTAAAGCTAGGAAATGGGCAAAAAGTGAATTTCGCGAAACAAGAATGGCGACCATTTTGAAAATAGGCGAGCTTTTGAACCAAGAGTCATAGGAGAGTTTTTTGTATTGATGTTGAACAAAATTAACTTAAAACGGGAATCCTATCGACAGAGGGTTTAAGGTAAATGGTCCAAAAGTGGATTTTGCGAGACAGATGGACAAATCAATGTTAACTAAAATGGCTGAAAATAAAAAAATGGATATAATTTTTCGCTGATTTCTCGTAACAAAATTATTTCATACATCTTCTCTTTACATTGACATGGATTTTTACAATGTAGGATACTTGAAATTATTTGTAAAGCTAGGAAATGGGTCAAAAGTGAATTTGGCGAGACAAAAATGGCGGCCATTTTGAAAATAGGCAAGCTTTTGAACCAGGAGTCATAGGGGAGTTTTCTGTATTGATGTTGAACAGAAATAACTTAAAACAGGAATCCTATCGACAGAGGTTTTAAAACGTGCCACTGTTATTGACGAAAAGTGGATTTCGCGAGTCAGATAGACAAATCAATGTTAACTAGAATGGCTGAAAATAAAAAAAATGGATATAATTTTTCGCTGATTTTTTGTAACAATATTATAACATATATCTACCCTTTACATTGACATGGATTTTTACAGTGTAGGACACCTGAAATTATTTGTAAAGCTAGGAAATGGGTCAAAAGTGAATTTCGCGAGACAAAAGTGACGGCCATTTTGAAAATAGGCGAGCTTTTGAACCAGGAGTCATAGGGGAGTTTTCTGTATTGATCTTGAACAGAAATAACTTAAAACAGGAATCCTATCGACAGAGATTTTAAAGGAAATGGGTCAAAAGTGAATTTCGCGAGACAAAAGTGACGGCCATTTTGAAAATAGGCGAGCTTTTGAACCAGGAGTCATAGGGGAGTTTTCTGTATTGATCTTGAACAGAAATAACTTAAAACAGGAATCCTATCGACAGAGGTTTTAAAACGTGCCACTATTGTTGACGGACAGACAGACAGACGGACAGACGGATGGACGGACGGACGGACGGACGGACGGACGGACGGACGGACAGACGGACAAGTGAGTGATTGCAAAAGCTCACCATGTGAGCTAAAAATGCCACCATATAATTGCCAAAAAATAATGTAATCGTGAAAAGGTACTTAAAGCTATATTTACCCTCATTCGATTGTTCATTTCATATTCGTCTCGTGTACCATAAGGATTTGGCCCTGAAAAACAATAGAATTAATAACAGAAAGAAAAAGCAAAATTAACATGCAAAAATAAAATTCTTGCTCTTATTCTAGAAAACAAATAACATTTTCTTGAGTAATATAGATATTAATAGAAAAATGATTTGATTTTTATTCAATTAATGTAAATAAAACTCTCTTTTTGTGATGTAATAAATGAAGCTCAGATCAATTACAGTATGAATGCTCATTAACTGTCTACTTAGCATGAATTATTCATAATAAAAATATAATAATTCAATTTGATCCCTTCTAAGGGATTCACCAGGTATTTACTGAAAGTTTCTAATTCAATGAGTGAATGAGTAACATCTATTTTCTTTGAACTGTTACAATATTCTAAATCAATTACGAAACATCATCATTCTATTTGTCTGGTCTCTTCTGTTTGATTCAGAAAATTTAAAGGATGTATATAAATATCAAAGGCTCAGAAAATGTTGAAAATGACTTTCTGCAGAATATCATCAGATTTCTTTTCAATAACTAAGTGCAACATGAGTGTCCATTTTAATTGTATAAGTAGAAACATAAGTAATATATGCAACGCTTACAGCAACATGCTGTGATAAGGCTTTGAAAAGAAATGAAAAACATGTTCATCTTTATACACAACCTTTAATTTTAAGTAAAAGAAAAAAAATTCTTCATACAACTTCAGTGGCTTGGGAGCCAAAAGATAATAAGGCAATATTCAATTGCATGCAAGTTTCAGATTAGCTTTATCACAAATTAGGCCTACTTTATTTTATCTGTTATTTTTATTTAATCAAACCTAGTCAAAGTAAAAGAGCTAAAAGCAATTTATATTTCATTATATAACATCATAACATATATATTTATTGTACTTTATAATGGTACCAAGGCAATACACACCTGGTACTGACACTTAATTCCCTCCCTTAATGCATACCATTTAGAATAGTATCATTTGACCATTTACTTGCACATACAGATCAAATGGAATCCCCACTAGAGCTGCCTAAATATCTTATCTATATGCACTAAATGAAATAAAAAGTTTGATTTTTACAAAATCTATAAATTTATTAAATCAAGGCCTTTTTCAGAAATTATACTAAGGGGTATAATCGAACTATGACATAACGCCTCTATTTATTTTTTATTTATTGGCAATAATATGGGAAACTATATGTGTATTTATTGATAACTAAGGACAAATATATCAAGTTTTGTAACATGAAACAGCTCCAATCATGCGTATTTTATTCTATTACAACTAACAAAGCTCTACTAGACTCCCAGGAGAGCAATTAATGATCAATAATTGTACTTGATCCAATCATTCATCAATAAATGATTCCTGAAACACGTTATCATTGACGGGAAAATGGTTTCCATAAAATAAATGGAAATTGAGCTGATAATGCAGAAAAAACTATTCTGAAAAAATGAATGAATGCTGAGTCGATTAAAGAACAGACAAGAATGTATTAGGATAGTATTAAATTTACTAGAGTTTCACAACTGATAAAGTGATTATATCATTATGACTTATTTATTTGGACATTGCACTGTTGGAGTAGATGTTGGGTGCATTCATGTGAAACTTAACATCCTAGAGCATAATAAAAGCATTTTTCTCAACATTTTGTTTTGATCCTAATGCCTGGGTCACATTTGCTCTGATCCATTGGCCAGCGCCGGCCGACTGAGTGTTTTGTTCAATATTGTGTTCAATGTTGAACAAAATAGTGAAAATCGGAGCAAATGTGACCAAGGCATGAAGCATCATAGTAATAAATATCAAATGTTTTTTTAAATACATTTATCATTAATGAAATGTTTTTTTTCTTCAAACATATGATATTCCTGTAGCTAGGTTTATCATCTTGTCACTGAGGTTCAGAACATGCAGTTCTTTCTATCCCAGTCACCCTCCATATTAGATTAAAAGACTTTTTAATATTACTTTGAAACTTTCAATGTGCAATTTTACATTACATGTATATTTAAAAATAAGGTTATTTAAAAAATTTCATATTTCAAATTGAAAATTAATAAAAATGGAGAGACTGGATTAAAATTTTGCTTTGAGTGTGCCATATACATCACTCGTCTTGATTGAAGAATTTAAGGCAAGAAATTCATGGACGATTGTCTGGAAACCAATTAAAAGAGTGTATGTATTTGTTGTATCCCATCCACCTGCAGTCACGTTTATAATTAATGACACCATTATGTCTCTCTTGGGATTTCTATAGTGAGACTCCTAAGTGATGAGATTTAAGTTGTCTAATCATTACATGGTAATATTGGCATGTAATAACGTCATAGCAGTTGGATGCCAATCACGCTTGTAGACCTTTTTTCTATCAAAAAACAAACAAATCATCTGATTGGCGCGCATCTAATCCATTGCCTTTTATCGAGGATCTCTAAGAATGTCATTAGACTACTGTTTGCTTTACACTGGAGTAACATCTTGGATAACCAAGGTATGACGTCTGAGGCTGATATCCCTCGGCAAAATCCTATTACTTTATCTTAGATTGAGGGTAGAAAAAGGTCCACTGATGCTTTGTGATTGAAAAGCAAACTGGTTAGCGAGTATAGGGAGCTTCTTGCCCTACTGAAACTTGTGAATAGGGAATAGAAAAACTTCATGTATTGGGTTTGGAAATCAGATGTTTTTCTTGAATAACTCAAGAGTTTATGAATAAGAGAACAAGCTATTATGAAAAAGCTTTTTTTAATTGTGTAACAGAAGGTTCATGAATAAGGAAGGGTCTCTATTGCAATATTGCATTTTAATAGAATGATTTTTTAAGTTTGCACAAAAAGCCATGACAATAAATCATCTATTTGATCCAATCTTTGCAATTATATAACACGTTTATGGCAAGATTGGAATCAACATGCAGACAAATGACAAATTATGAAATATTATATCTAGATGTTATTGTTTTATTTCTTTTGTTAATGGTTACTTTGACCTAGAATGAAGTTAAACATTGTTTTGTCTTGTCTGATAACAAGTTTAGAGTCTCAGAAACTTGTAAAAGTGAAACACATTTTCACAGCGTCACTTAACTGAAATGATTAATTAATTGATTTTTCACATTATTAAAAACGTTGTATACATCGATACCTCGCTTTAAATGGATACAACCTCGAAAAAATGTTCCTTTTGGTACCATTTATAGAAAGCATTTGATGGAATGTAGACTTTAATGTATCCCATAATTTCTCACCTCTTGAATCTTGCATCCTATTGGCTACTGGGTCCATATCATCCATGCGACCCATCACATGATTAGGGTTCTGTCTGTTGATTGGTGGAAGAGTTTTATCGTTATATTCAGCACCATATGGACCACCCCCTAGGTCAGCCCTGGGTCTGTGCAAGGTGTTGTTAGCACTAACTGGTGGAGATTTGTTACTGCCTGGCCTGCAAATACAAAAATATATTGCATAAACAGGACATCAATATAACACAGTGATCTCCCAAGGATTAAAGCAAGTGGGTGCAGCACCCACCTGAGATTTTCATAATAGGCTTGCCCCCATCTGAGAATCCATTTGCACCCACTTGAAAATGAGAAAAATCATGAAAAATGGGCATGCTTTGACAAATTTTAGACTGAATTGTAAAAATGAGAATTCTCCACCCACACGAGAAAAAAATTCTGTGGAGATCCATGTATTGCATTAAATCATCAGTCTAAATAGGACAACAACATGACATATTTAGTCACAACCTTACAAAAGTACAACCATTTATTAACAAAGTCAAAAGCAAAATGTGATATAAAATAGATTGCATTTAGTTGTTAACTTGAACATCCCATTATCATGGCAAATGTCACACCTTACAAAGTGCAACCAATAATTACAAACGCCCAAATAAAATATATTACATTTAGTTATAATATCCAACCAACATGCAGGATATTGCCACCTTTATGTAATGACAATTTGTAACAATTTGTAAAAGACACCAGTTTTATGGTGGTAATAACAAAATGTCACCAAGAAATACATTGCATTAACTGTTGTTTTTAATCTAAAAGTTGGTTGGTAAGTAAAAATTTCCAATTCAAATTATTCAATAATACTTATTATCTAATAGCATCTAAACAATACATTATATCTAATAGCATCTAAACAATACATTAACAAAACATTAACAATGAGACTGGTGTAACTTCTATTTTCTAGATGGGATTAGATAAAATATGGTGGCGCCAAATTGTGATGGGTTTTGTCATTAGTAATCAATAGAGAAGTACATCATTAGGGCAATAACCTAATAAATCAGAAAGAAAACTTTTGCATTAATTAAACTATCCTCCACTCCAAACCCAACAATTAATATCTAATGTCATTCTGATATTTTACGCCTCTGCACAATTTGGAATTTCTTCCTCAGTGAATATAGGATAACAAAGTCCTTGATGTATCTATCTAGTGGAGGAATGCCATAAATTAATCATATTTAGTTTTTAATATATATATTTTTGGTAATGGAAGAGTATGGCATGAGTAGAGCAAACAAAGTAAACACAGAAAATTACTTCTATTATTAATTTCCCTTTCGCAAGGAAGAGGATAAATCATCCGAGACATCCCTGATTGTTTATCATCATTATCTCAGGCATACCTTCCCGTGAAAGAAGATAAATGGCGATCCCATAGAGTAGAAAGTCCTCCTGAGCATACATTTTATTAATTAACTCCTCTTCTATTTTTCATGAAATATCCAGATTACAGGAGTGACTTCTTTTGGCTATTACTATGCATCCATGATATATTACTCAAATTAGAGCTACAGGGTCATCCAGAATTCACACATAGCTAGGCAAGGTGTGTCAGATTCCAGCCAATCAGAACAGAATATTCACATAATGAACAGTGTGTGAAATATCGATAACACATGCAAGTCACTAAGTTAAACAGTTGTCATGGTGATGAATGGACTTTTCATATTGGATTTGGGGACTTGCCAACTTGACCCTTGGATGATATTGTAGAAAAAATTGCAATGTGTGAAAAGAATTTAGATCCAAAACTCAATGCATTGTAGCTGCTTCGTTCCACTCAGGCGTTGTTTCCTAAACTTTGCATTCCCGCCCCGCGGTTTGGAAACAACACCTTCATGGTATGATTCAGCAAACAATGCACTGAGTCCAGGGCTTAAATCCTAAGTAACATCAAAGGTGTTGTCGTTTCAAAACTACTTACTACTTGACTACTCATCTTGAAACATGTTACAGATGAAATGGCATCTTTGATGTTACTTCTGGACCACTCTGTATAACAGCCAAGTTAAACACTAAAATTACTTAACTTTTAAATAGCAAAACATTTAAGTTTTTGTAAAAAGAGATTCTATGTCTATTAGCATCAGTATAAAGAATTTGAAAAACCTGACAACCAGTATTTGAATTTTTGTCGAGATAGACAGAAATTGACTCAGATGCGCGAACAGATGGAATAATGAATTTTGTTTGATGCTAACAACTCTTCACAAGAAATGAGTTTAAGGATTATCAACAGATGGGAAAGAATATAATGGGTTTACTTGTAAAAATGCATCAAAAATGTCCCAAGATAAATTCAATGAATTATGCAAAATTTATGATATTAAATCATAAAACATAAATAATTTCTTAATAATAAATAATAATGTTGAAAATTTGATCAATTTGCTTATAGCTTATATAGTGTATTCGAAATTTGTCTTAATATAGCAATATTTACACATAAACCAATGGGACAGGTATGAGGAACAATCCGTGAGAGAAAATTAGTGTACTACCATATATAAGAGTCCTGGCTATATCAAATCTATGAAGTTAGGAAATCTTGACTATATTTTCAAGCTAAAAACATATTTAAAAGCTTCATTTGAGATGGTTAAGATGAGTATCAAAATGTATTAACAGTCACCAGAGAATTAATGCAGAAATAGGTTTTCAGAGTATACAAATGGCATATCAGATAAAACGAATATGTTCCAACTAATTAATCAATATAACTCTTTGCAAAATATAATTGAATTAATGCAGTGAGAATGTGTTTTTCATGCTTTTTAAGGAACTTAATTTTCAGTATAACATTTCAGCTGCTTAATCATGTAACAGGTAACCCTAATGAAATAATATAGCAAAATGTCACCACCTGCCATATGTTACATATACCAAACTGGTGGTGACATAAAAATAATTTCATTCTTGGATAACTGTGCAACAGAGGCGATCCCAGGAATATTTGGTTTGATGTAGAGCAATATCTGAGAAAACTGACAATCTCTATATATATTCTGGTTATCTTATTTTGCTCATTTATGTGTTCATATTGTTTGTAAGTGTTGGCCCATATATTTCGCATGACAATGAGTAATATATTCAGTAAAATACATGTGGATGGTACCCATATATCATTACCATATCCTCATATGTATGCTATAAAATCAACCACATAGATCCTGGGTGAATATATTCATGACATATGCAGGTACTATAATGTTAGATGTAATGTTAGATGCTAGCAGCAAAATAATGTAACGACGTTTTAACTAAGCTTGCGAAACAGGCAAGTTACTGAGCACATTTTACAAAATTAAATATGAAGTTTCTTGTTAAATAATTACAGAAACATCATTGTTTTTTGCTTCTGGTCATTTCATTGGAAAAAATAAATGAACTTTCACAGTACTATAGTAACCAGCCATTATGACTTGAAAAACCTCTGAATGATGGGTATTAAGTATATGTCAAACCAGAACAACGGCAATGCCAAAGCGTAGCGAATCCCATCGAACAGAAATGGCTGGCATTTTTACATTTGAAATATATAGTAAATATCATAAAATAACACCCATAAGAAAGGCCACCATTTTCAAAATGGTTGATCACTAGCCAAGTTGTCATCAGAAGAAGTAATATGCTTTTAAGTAGCTACATATAAAATTCTTAAAAAATTGCCAATGCTAGCCATTTTTTAAAATGGCCGCTTACTACCCAAAATGTCATAAGACAGTATGCAATCCTTACGAGTATTCACATATCAAATATGAACAAAATCGCTCTATTACTTTTTGAGTTATAATAAAAAATGTAAAACAACACACATAAAAAGTTTTATTAGACAATGTGCCATGCTTAAAGTAATCACATATCAAATATGAACAAAATCGCTCCAATACTTTTCAAGTTATCGTAAAGAATGTAAAAATGACAGCCATTTTTTAAAATGGCCACCTACTACACGAAGTTTCATGAGACACGTACAAGGCTCATGAGTATTCACATATCAAATATGAACAAAATCACTCCACTACTTTTCAAGTTATAGTAAAAAACGCAAAAATGGTGGCCGCCTTCTACCCAAAGTGTCATTAGACAGTGTGCCATGCTTATAGTATTCACATATAAAATATGAACAAAATTGCTCTACTACTTTTTGAGTTATAGTGTGGGAGCAAAAGTCCAAATAAGAGGTTCCGTGTCCTTTTTAGAGGCGAGCTAAGCGACATATGTTTTCATGAACTATACGTGATACTGATCAAGAAAAATGATGTTGGCAATTCTGAATCCGCGACGGCGTTGCTATGGTAACCAAGTAAATATGCCACGCCCACTTTAAGGGGCTCTTTTCAGTGTATGGCCCCTATTTCTGTCATTATTGCTCAGATTTAGATGAAATTCACACCAAATGGAAGGTAATGGATAACGCAATCAGGAAATATTAAGTTGGCAATTCTGAATCCGATATGGCGTTGCTATGGTAACAAAGTAAATATCCCACACCCACTTTTAGGGGCTCTTTTCAGTGTTTGGTCCCTATCTTCGTCAATATTGATCAGATTTAGGTGAGATTTGTACCAAATGAAAGATAATGGAAAGAACAATCAAACAGTTTATAAAATATGCAAATAAGGTGATTTGCATATTAATTATGATGTCATAACCATTTGTTCTTGCACATTTAATTTTAATCATGATGTATAAATCTGGGAAATTATTGTCATTAAAATGGTCAGTAATGCTTTATTTTCATTGAGTTTATTAGATTATGTCATTCATACATGTATGGTCATAAAAAATTGAAAATGTTGTGAAAATATCCAATTCAAGTTGTTGCTATGGTAACGGTATGTTGCAAAACTATCTGCTGTAAAAATAATTCTTTGGGAAATGTTACATTTTGACCAGTTGACTGACATGTATTCCTTCGAAAATTTGATGGCAGAGAATAACCTAATAACGATAGAAACTTATCTAATTTAAATTGTGTTATATTATGATGTCACAATGGCAATTAATCAGGGGCGCAGCCAGCTTTCAATCAGGGGCGCAGCCAGCTTTCAATCAGGGGCGCAGCCAGCTTTCAATCAGGGTGGGAGGGGGGTGCGATCTCGGCATAAGCAACTCAAAAAAATGTTTA